AGGCATCGCGAATACTCAATCTTATAATCAATGTGAACAAATACAATCCGTTGCACACGGGATGTCACTTTGAGTTACCGCGTGTGATACAACTGAAGCGGGCTGTGATCAATGTCAAATCTCCGGACAATGCATGTTTCGCGTGGGCAATAGTTGCGGATCTGTATCCAGCCGAAAGATACGCAGATCGTGCATCATTGTATCCCCATTACACGAACGTGCTCAATCTTCAAGACATTGAGTTCCCCATGAAAATTAATCAAATTACAAGATTTGAACTATTAAACAATATATCCATCAATGTATACGGCATCATGGGAGAAAAGAACGAAGCCATTGTTCCAATACGTCTCAGCGACGAAAAGAAGGAAAAGCATGTCAACTTGCTGCACATTTCGGATCCTCGAGACCACAACACGGGACACTTCGCCTGGATCAAAGACTTGTCCAGGCTGGTGAGCTCGCAGTTGAGCAAAAAAGCTCATAAGAAATACATTTGCGATCGGTAAGTACATTTCATGAATTCATTGTATCAGAAGTATGCAATAAGGTGATAAAAATTGCAATGTTTGTAGGTGTCTGCACTACTTCCATTCCAACAGGAGACTGGAAAGTCATGCGGTAAACTGCTAAAAAATTAACGACTGTGCCATCATTCTGCCCAGCGAAGACAATAAATGGTTGAGTTTTAGCAAGCACAGCAGGAAGGAGCGAGTTTTCTTTGTAATATACGCCGACCTAGAGTGCACACTGGAGAAGACGGCAAGGAATGGAGAGGATCGCAATTTGTACACATACCAACATCACAGGGTATTTAGTATAGCATTTTATATACGTTTTATGTACGATGATTTATTATCCGAATTTCAAAGTCGTCGTGATAGTGACTGCATCTCATGGTTCGTCGGGCAACTCGAAGAAATAGCACACCGCGTAAAAGTAATATTATCATCCAATGTCCCCATGGAAACTTTGTCGAAAGAACAGTGGGCGATATTTCATAACGCGACGCAATGTCACGTGTGTGAGAAACCATTCAGAGCAGAGGATACGCGCGTACGCGATCATTGTCACTTCACCGGTCGCTACCGAGGTCCAGCGCATTCAAATTGCAATTTAAATTACAAAAATTCATATTACATTCCAATCGTTTTCCATAATTTATCCGGCTACGATTCACATTTTATCATCAAGGAAATAGCAAATGCATTTGAAGGTTCAATCGATGTGCTACCGATAACAAAAGAAAAATACATTTCGTTTACAAAGAATGTTCAAGATACGGCAGATAAATACAAAAATATTGTAAAATTGCGTTTCATCGATTCGTGCAAATTTCTCAGCAGTAGTCTCGACAAATTGGCATCCTTTCTCACTAAAGACAAGTTGAAAATTGTACGGTCGGAATTTCCAAAATTATCCGTCGAAGAATTTAATTTATTGACGCGAAAGGGTGTCTTTCCATACGAATACGTGGATTGCGTGGACAAGCTGCAGGACACATGTTTACCGCCGCGAGAATCGTTTTACAGT